AGACCMTTTGAGAAATCACATTTGKARGAATTCTCTTCTTTACTATGCCAAGCCAGGTCCTTCACGAAAAACAATTTTAGACCGCCAAAAAGATGTCAGCYGATTTCTTTTGACARCTAGCATAGCGAAAACCAAGAAAMSKWAWMWTTTWASGGGAGCAAATTAGAGTAAAAAAGAGAATTTTCTWTAYAAATGTCAACAATGTAGAYCTTCTTGCAATGCCACAGCTTTGGACAATGCATTGTAACATGTAGCTACAATAGATAGATAACGAATTTAGTCGTTAATAAGGTGTGTAGAACGTAGCCACCTAATCGAACCGTCGTGGCGAGGAAGAGGATGGAAGCCACAAGGGGGGTTTATGTCGTAATATCTATTTTTACATTTTTCAATAAAAAGGGAGTGGCTATATAGCCAACGTAACCCCTGGATCTTCTCTTGGTACTACACTATTCTAAGAAACCAGTGAATATTTATGGATTGATTTAATACAAAAGGCCTAACCGAGTCATAGTTGTATGTGATGGACAGGCGCGTGGCGTGGACTTTTGGGTAGTACGCACATGTCAGGGACCGCGACACATATTATGGATAGGGAGCGCTAACGACCGCTTAACACTGGAAAAAATCGTTCACTTTAAAAGGTTGCAAATTTGATGTAAATATTATGTAAGTGTCCAAAATGATGTAAATTTGATGTAAATTTGATGCTTAAATTTGATGTAAATTTACATCAAATTTACATCATTTTGGACACTTACATAATATTTACATCAAATTTACAACCTTTAAAGCTCGCGATTTTTTCCAGTGTAAGGTGGGAGTATTAAGGGGGGTGTGCGGGTCCTCCCAAGGAATTTTGAAATAATAACTCTTGGAAATGCGATTTCCAGCGTTTTGAGGCTCTTTCTGATTACGAAGCCTTGGTGCGAAAGAGCAAGCATAGACAATTATATAAAAAAATCCCGAAAATTTTAATATTTCGTTGCCACTAGTACGCACGTACGGATATGCGTAGGATATGGTAGTCATAAAGCGCAGAAACTTCGACCACCGTATTTTTTTTCCCGCCATTTTGATACTTTTAACACTACCATGATGCACTTCGCTCCAAAACATATATAACGTCATTGGTCTACTAGTTACTGAAGAGCGACCTGGTTCGGCGGGATTTTTTAGAGGACGTATTATAGTACCTATCCGAATATAGGCGGTTGTCACAATCAAGTGAAAGAAAACGCTTTTAATGACTTTTATGGCTATGTAAATATTCTTATAAATCTGACGTCTTTAGAAACGTTGATTAAACATTGACTATTTGCGTTTACTCGAGTTGCTACTAAGAATCCTTCATGTCAGGCACACGTCACGAGATACGGGAGTAATTTATACCAGGTGAACACGGACTGTGACACCCCACAAGAAGATCGAAAATATATATGTGAAAAAGCAAAGCTGCCAACCCCAGGAAATTTGTCATGTCTTATGATCGATAAATACGCCATTTTGTTTATTTATTTATTTTCAAATTTCCCACATCACCAAACAAATACGCATAAAAAAAAGTTTGGTAATTCGTGCACAAATCGGGCAACRTTTTTGTTGAATATACTTAAAATGCATGAGAGTTTTGCCGTTTTCTTGAAAAACAGGGAGATTTTATATTAAAATCTTGGGACCGGGATATAAGAAAAAAAATCTAGACAATCCCGCATGAAATGAATGTCATTTATTTTGAAAAAAATACAAATTACAATACTTGTTACATTTTTTCTGAAAATATTTCAAATTTTTAAATACTGCTAACAAGCATAGGCCGTGTTCATTTTGGAGTTGAAATCAGTAATTTCCAACATTTATGTATATAATCTAAAATCCTAAAATGTAAACATTGGCGCCCACCTACATATTTTTTACATCAATGAGGGTCTACAAATTTGTCATGCAGGGGCTACACATTTATGCATATAACCTAAAATGTAGTTTACATTGGCGCCCACCTACATATTTTTTTTACATCAATGAGGGTCACGCAAATGATCTGATATTAATTATCAAACTTAAAGGACTTCATATTAAAACAATATATATAACATTTTAAGTAATGTAACTGCATTATTATAGAAACTTTAATGAATTAGCGAGTATTCTCTAGTGAGAAAAAGTGATATCTTTTCATGTAAAAATAACATGTAATCATCTACAATTTGCATTATTAATTTGCACTTAATTTGGAGCCCAGCTCTTTTGTTGATATAAATAAAATACAATATATAAATTGTATATAAATAAAAATAATTATCAAACTCATTAATAATAATTCATAAACTAAACACAATGGAAAATCTTTGCYGTGTCCATATCTTTATATGAGCAAGAGATTTGTCCTGATTTGCATATGACTTTAACTTAGATTTTCTCTTAAAAATTATATTTTATCTGCAAAATATGCTTAGTCTTATGGTGGAATTTGATAAGCAATATAAAATATTCACGTACAACCTTTATAGGATTTAAAAATGCTTGCTTGCAGCTTGCAGTTTTAAATGCCCATAAATATCTCMTGCTCATATTTTATATATTACATAAAAACAATAAAATAATAATATTACAGCAATGCTGCATTGCACAGGTGGGGCTTGGAAATATTGAGGATATTACGGATTCCATCTTCGAGTGTTGAAAAGATGTCTACAAGTCAAGAGTAAAATGTTCAACATAAGAAAGTTAAATCTGTATCTCCAAGAAACTAACTCTAATATTCTCTTTATAACTATCCATGATAACAATTAATGTAATAATTAAATAACAATTAAAGTAATTTTTTTGCTCCAATTATAAAGATACCATGATTCATTAACAAGTTTCCGAAAGTGAGAAATATAGGCATTCYACAGATATCAACATGATAAAAAGATTTTATCAATTCTACACTCAAAGATAAACTCCATATCATCGCTTGACCATCTCATATCCTTTGGTTTTATCGTATAATCATAATATGTTATGTTCACTAGTGAAAACAACACATTGGTTGAAACTCACGTAAATCAGGAAAATAAAGTGTTTTTTTAAGATAATTTGCTTACATGGTTGACTATACAGTCAATCCTAGACTCCTTCCCAGACAACTCTTTTTTTTCCCTTTGGGCTTCCTTTGTAATGGACATATTGGCCGCAGGGGACTAGTGACGAGAAATGGAAAATAAGAATATGCGTCCCCTCTCGCCTCCATTCTCCCTCTTTTGACCYCAAAAAAGACAGGAAGCCCATGATTCTTAGTGATGCCTGCAGAGGCTAGTCAATCCCCCATTAATGCTGTTCATTTGTAAAGACCYAAGACAAAACAACATCGTTGAATACAATTTTTTTTATAAATTCTTAAAACACAAGCTGAATAGAACATTGAATTTTATTTACATTGTATAAAAGACATTTTGTGACTAATTAAATAATGCTGTAGAAATTTCAAATGTAATATATGTGACCGGGCCAAGGTCCTCATTCGAGAGTATTTGACTCTCACTAGTGGATGATTGTCATAACCTCACAAAGTTACGGTTAGAGTATGTAACTCTGATTTCAACTAAATAGGCTACATATTACATTTATACCCAGACAAACAGAACCTTACTGCTTGAAGGGTAGGACAGAACTGGTTTAATCACATGTAACACAAGCTTATACAACGACGAAGCGATTTCCGGAACGCGCAAATTGATTGACAGGAATATTTTACATGACATTGACGAAAGACAAACACTTTTAAAATAACGAACTATTAACGTCATTTGAAGTTTACAAAAACTTCACTTGCTCACATATATGCAAATGATTTTTTGTCTTTACAAATTAACAACGTTAATGAGATAGACTGTATAATGAACAGTTGTGTAAAGAAGATAAGTTTAACACCGTAAAAAAGTATGGGAAATAACTTACTGACGTTTCGGATGTTAATCCTTCGTCGGAGTAAAGACGAAGGATTAACATCCGAAACCTCAGTAAGTTATTTCCCATACTTTTTTATGGTGTTAAACTTATCTTCTTTACACAACTGTTTCTTTAGAAACACCGACGCAGCTTACACTAGTTTACCGCTAGTTTCCACCATTTTTGTATAATGAACTGCTGCTACAATCCTTGTGAGTGATCTTATAAAGTCTTCAAATATATATTTACCCTAGTAGAGGCTTCTATAGTCAATCCCGACAGGAGTATAGCACGCTTCATGGCTGTTCCTCAGGATTGACTGCAGTAGCCTTTACTGACAGATAGTGTGAATAAACCCTATTTATATCTCTTCAATCTTTTCCCTTTTTATCTTTTCTTTTAGCATCCCTACCACACTGCATCACTTATCATTGTCCTTCCAAATTAGCCATGACAAGATCCACATACTCTGACGCTTGTTCTGCAGTCATAACATTCGAGAAATACACAAAACCCCAGTACAAACCTCCATTGACAGTTGCAATGTTATTAGAAAACACTGGTCCAATGTTATG